TCTAACTAAGAGATGCCTTGTTAAAATCTAATTCTTATCAATTATAATGGTATCCATATTTTCTTTACCAGTGGAAACAAAAGCAAAATCTCTTCCCCAATGTAACACATGTCCTGGTTTCCATACAGAGGTGAAGATATCGTTAAAGTGTATCGGCTGGCTGATTTTTTTTTTAAGATTTTATTTATTTATTATGTATACAACATTCTGCTTCCATCTATATCTGCACACCAGAAGAGGGCACCAGGTCTCATAATGAATGGTTGTGAGCCACCATGTGGTTGCTGGGAATTGAACTCAGGACCTCTGGAAGAGCAGTCAATGCTCTTAACCTCTGAGCCATCTCTCGAGCCCTCAGATGGCTGATTTAATTCAGTAGTTTTTTCTATTATCCAATGTCTCTCTGAAGCTGTTCGTCCTTTCTCATTAGTATTCAGAAAATTCAAAGTTAATAAAGTAGTATGCAATCTATCTTTGCAGTTCTTTATCATCCTGTTAATTTAGCATATCCTTTAGAGTTTGACTTAATCTTCCCATAACTTTCTGCCCTGTAGGATTGTGTGGTATACCTGTAATATGTTTTATATTATAATAAGCAAAGCACTGTTTCATTTTCTTAGAGACATATGCTGGAGCATTGTCTGTCTTTATTTGTGAAAGTGTATCCATGATGGCCATGTCGTCTAGAAATTGTGGAATTACCGAATCAGTCTTTTCTGAACTTAAAGCAGTTGCCCATTGAAAGCCTGAATAAGTATCAATGGTATGGTGTACATACTTTAATTTTCCAAATTCTACATAATGGAACACATCCATCTGCCAGATTTCATTCATTTGAGTACCCTTTGGGTTATTTCTTGCAGGTAGTGGACTTTGGTTGTATAAAGATCAAGTAGGACAAAGCTGGGTATTGGTGCCGCACATTTTTGGCAAATGCAGGCAGATCTCTGTGAGTTCGAGAAAGGCCTGGTCTACAAGAGCTAGTTCCAGTACAGGCTCCAAAGCTACACTACACAAGACCTCTGTTCTTGTAATATTGTTGTTGTATTTGAATAAATGTATTTCATGTATTTCAGGCTTAGTCCCCAGCTGATGATCTGTTGGGGAGGGTTAGAGGTGTGACCTTGGTGGTGGCTGTATGCTGGGGTGAACATTGAAGTTCCAAAAGCCTGTCTGCTGCCTGTGGATCAGGATGCAAAACTCTGAGCTACCTTCCCAGAACCACGTCTGTCCATCTATCTGCCTGCCATGATGACAATGGACTCATCCTCTGAAAAGCAAGCCCTCAAGTTCAATGCTTTCTTTTATGAGTTGCCTTGGTCATGGAATCTTTAAGATATAAAGTGACTAAAACAATTGTACAAGGTGATTCCACAAGCTCATATAACCTCATCTTTCTTCCCTTCTTCCTCTCAGTTTTTCCTGACATGGCTTAGTTATTCATTTGCCCTGGTTGTCACTCTTTCCAGGATAAAAATCCTGTGAGGTTCAGGCCATGGAACTAACTGTTCCTCCTTGTACTTAGAACATTATTTGCATCTCAGGGCAGCTCTTGTCCTTCACCATACAGCTATAAATGCCTTCTCCAAAGAAGTCTTTGTGTACCATGCTACCCACCTTTGCAACTACAATCACTACTACAATCTGTTATAATCTACTTTTGGAAACTAGTCACCATGTGTATGGATGTGAGTGCATGTGTATAAAGGCCACACTTTTTAAAGAAAGGTCATCTCACTGAGATCTGTGTACATCCAATAGGCTAGACTGACTGGCCAGGGAGCCCCAGGGATTTCTTACTGAAGCTCCGAAACACTGCATGAGGATCACCATTCCTGATTTTTCATGTCAGTGCTGGGGATTCAACTCAGATCCTCGTGTATGTATGGCAAGGACTTAACAAACTGAGCCCACTCCCCAGCTCCAAATTCCTTTTGTTATTAGATTTTCACAAGCACAAGACATCTTTTATTTGGGTAATGTCTCCATAGAAAGTAGATGTCCTAAGAACAAGGAGTTTGTGTATACCCTCTGGCACACAGAAGCCTTTTGATAACTTGAAAAAATCAAAATACCCTATATTTTCTTTAATTATCACTTTGGGTCTCAACTTAGGAGAACTGTTCCAAGACTGCTTCAAGAAAATACAACATAAAAGTGGATTTAATTACTTCACTCAAGTTTAAGACAGAATTATTTTTTTCTCTTTGAGTTTTATATCCTATTCTCTATAAATTTATCAACACATATAAGACTTTACTATGTACTAGAGAGAAACTCAGATCGTGTTCATAGCAGCCTCTATTCTCAGTGATATTTATGTTATCTTTGGGGAAGATAAGGTCAGTTTTAAGGGTTGGAGCCTGTTTGGGAATGCACAGAATCACCCATCTTCTCTACAAGCACTACTTCTTGAGCAGTATGAATTGGTCAGTCACCACATTTTCTTTTTTTTTTAATTCTATAAATGAACTTTTTAAAGGAAGGAATAATCAATGAGCTCATCAAAATGAAAACTGACTTATATGGTATTTGTTACTTGCTGGGAAACATTTTCTTTCAAGGTAAGTAAGGCTCAAATTTGATGGAGACAACACCTTCAACTTCAAGGCATCCTCATCATCTAAGATAGTATCTGACATGGCTAAAGAAACTAACTTGCTGGGTGTTGGTAGGGCACTGCTTTACCCCCAGCACTTCAAAGGCAGAGACAGGTGGATCTCTGTGTGTTAGAGGCCAGCCTGGTCTACAGGGAGTTCTAGGACAGAGAAACCCTTACTCTAGAAACAAAACAAAACAAAACAAGAAAAGAAAGAAAGAAATATTACCTTGAGATTTTATTGATGTATATCTACTATACGAACTAATTGGTTTCCTGATGACATTTTATACATGAATATAATGTAAGTGATTATGTCCACCTCCCATCATCCTTTGCTGTTCCCCTTTCCACTTCTGCTGGTCCCTTCGACTTTCTAGACAACTTCTACTTTTTATTTATTTATAGTTGAAATACATACAGGAGAAAATGTGATACTTGTAGTCCCGATCTGGCAGATCTTTCATTTCATGCATTTTTCTGCAAAGGATGTCGCTGCTCTTCACACCTAAAGAAAATTCTCTTGTGGATACATCTCATTGATCCATTCAATCACGTCTTGATGGGCATCCAGGCTGACTTCATTTGTGATTACTCAGAGTAGCACAGCAGTAAACATGGATGTGCAAATATCTCTGCTATGTGTGGTGTGTTGGATGCATGTGTGGTGCATGCACATGTATGCAGCTGTGCATGCTCATATGCATGTTCATGCACACAGACGCCAGAGGAGGCTGTTGACTATCTTGACACAGTGTCCTTCACCCAACAGGAAGCTCACCTTTTCTGCTAAGCTGGCTGGCATGTGGGCTCCTAGGATCTACCTGTGTGTGTCCTCTGAGGTTACATGGGAACTGAGATTTAAACTCAGGTCCTTAGGCATCCACAGCAAATACTCTTACTCACTAGGCCATTTGTGTTTTTAACAGGACTTGTTGTGTTATTATGTCTTAGTAGGATCGCAATGAGAAGTATGATTTTTGCCCATATAAGTCAAACAGCAATCTAAGAATTAACAGACTTTTAAAAATTGATTCTTTGTGGATTCCCCATCATGCTTAGTAGACTTTGTTACTGAGATAGTGCTGAAATTTGGGTATGGATTATTCTCCAAGTCCAAGTGTTAAAGTAGGCCTGAGCAATTCTCGAGGGTGGCAGAAAACTCTAAAGATGGGATAGCTCCAAAAGCAACAGGGCCAACTGACCCTGAATCCTTCAAAATGGTAAGCCAAAACATTCACTCATTCATTTTATGAGTCAGGATTTCTCTGAGAAACAGCTCTGGCTGTCTTGGAACTTGATTTGTAGACCAGGCTGCCTGGAACTCACAGAGATCCTCCTGCCTCTGCCTCCCAAGTGCTGGAATTAAAGGTGTTCACCACCACCATCAAGGTCAGTAGTTTTTGATCACAGAATCACAAATGTCACTAAAAGCACACATAATAAAAAAGGCACAGGCTTTACTAAACTTTAGTAAACTAAAGAGAGTGAATAAGAAACTTAGTTTAATGCAGGGCAGTGGTAGCACAGGACTTTAGACCCAAACAGGAGACAGGGGCAGGTGGATCTCGAGTTCTTTGCCACCCTGATCTACAAAGTGAGTTCTACGACAGTCAGAGCTACACAGAAAACAAAACAAAACAAACAAACAAACACAACAACAACAAAAAATAAACCTAAGTTTAAAATGGTGTTGTTAAGCTTAAGTCTCATTTATATTTTTACCATTTCAATACTTTCAATATTAGAGTATTGAGACATTCCCCAAAATAAAGATGATTTTTAACTTATTTCCAAACATATAAACAGGCTTTTCTTTGAGAAAGGGTGTTGTTTATCCCAACTTGACAATCAACTAGCTAAACAACCGAGACTGACCTTGAACTCCCTTTGTATATCCCGCTGGCCTCGAACTCACATAGATCCACCTGACTCCCTAGTGCTGGGATTACAGCCATGAGCCACAAGTCACCACGCCCGGCATAAGATTTCTTGTAGATTAATTCTTATGATTATGGACACCAGCAGTAAAGCTACTCACTCCCTCACTAGGAATTACTATTACCAATGGTCAAGCACAGAATGAAGAAAACGGCCTTGTTTCTTGCACAGGCGTCACTCAACTCACAACTCTTCCCACGCATAAAATACAATGAAACTGCCCGGTAGCTCTATCTCATGGCCAAGAACGAATGAGTGAACAGTGCATGGGAGGCGCCTGGAATGGTGTCAGATAAAGTGCCAGGCCAAGTCCCATTATCACCTCTTGTCTCAGGACACAGCCGGGTCAGGACCGAGAGCTGCATCTACTGAAGGCCACGTTGGGACCGGCCGGCGTAGCCCAGGGGTCTTGCCCAGGCGTGGGAAGGGAGAGACCCTCGCGGTCCCCACGCGAGCCTACCTGTTGTTGCGGATGCTGAGCAGCACGCACAACACCAGCTCCAAGTAGACGCGCAGCACTTCCAGCCAGCGAGAGGAGAGCCGCAGGGCCTCACCGTCCTCGCCCTCGGTGCCCATGTCGGCGCCGCCCCCGCCGCCGCCGCCGCCCGGGCCG